TCCATGGTCGGCCATGTGAGAGTCCAGCACCCTTAACCACCGCACCACCTGCTGGTCCCTATTTTTTATTATTTTTAAAAATTATTTAATTTTATTTATCATTATTTTCATTTAATTTGTTATAGGACACATGTACTCACCAGAGAGAGAGAGAGAGAAAGTGAGAAAACAAGCCACCAGGCCTGGGGCTCGAACTGCAAGCAGCCATGTGGGAGTCTAGTGCCTTAACCACCATGCCACCTGCTGGCCCCGTCTTCATCTTCTTCCTGCCTCTTTTAGTGACTGTCTCTGTGTCCATCTCTTCTTGTCTCGGGGGGGATGGCCACGCCGCAATCCCTTCTCCTCCATTCTCCTCTCGGGATCTTGGGCACGCACGCACGTGTGCTCAGTGTGATTTTTAAGGTGCCTGATCAAAGATTCGAATCCCATAATCAGCCATTATGGATCCAGCACCTTCCCTCCATACCACTTGCCGACCCACCCTTCCTAGACTTTTTACTTTTTAAAGAATTATTTTATTTAACTTTATTTATTGATTTCAATTTGACCAGTAAGGGATGGAGAGAGAGAGAAAAAGAGAGAGAGAGAGAGTGAGAAAGCAAACCACCAGGTCCAGGACTTGAACCACAGTTGGCTATGTGGGAGTCCAGCGCCCTTAACCACCACGCCACCTGCTGGCCTCATCTTTTTCTTTTTTTTTTAAGGTTTTTGCCATAGCTCATGCACTTGCCAGAAAGAGCGAGCGAGAGACACTGAGAGAAAAGATGAGAAATTGCTCCCTTGGCGGGGATGGCCAAGCTGCTCCTCCCACCCTCCCCCTGGGATTTTGGGCACGCACGCACACATGCTTGGCATGATGTTCAAGCAGACGGGTCAGGGATTCAAACCGCATAGTTGGCCACGTGGGATCCAGCGCCTTAACCTCCACACACCAGCTGCTGACTCCCTCCTAGAGTCTCAAACAGCGCCCTGGACTCAGCCCAGCATCGAGACTTCTAGGTGGAGTCCGGAGCAGGTAGGGAGGCTTCATGGTTCTGCCCAAGACCACACAGGGGTCAGGATAAAGAAAAAGTCTGGAGGGACCAGCAGGTGGCGTGGTGGTTCAGGCGCTCAACGACTACTTAAGGCATTTACACGCTGTAACATGACAAGCATTGCTTCAGTGGATTCATTGTACGAATGTAATTTTACATGTCTTTAACCTACAGGACAAGTTCCTTACAATTTGAATACCTTTGGGAGCCAGCAGGTGGCATGGTGGTTAAGGCACTGGACTCCCATATGGTTGACCCTGGTTCAATTTCGGGACCTGGCAGCTTGCTTTCTCACTTTCCCTCTTTCTCTCTCTCTGTATCTCTCTGGTCAAATTAAAAAAATAAAATGAATGAATGATGAAAGTAAATAAATAATTCTTTTAAAAAATGAATGATAAATAAAATAAAATAATAATTTTTTTTAAAAGAAAAAGACTGGACAGTGGCTGATCTTTGGGGTTGGTGGGGGTCAGGCCAAGAAAGAGAGGTCCCAGCTCCCCAGTGCTCCTGCCTGGCTATTTCTCTTTCCTTTATTTACTTATTTTAAATTGATTGACTTATTTTTAAGTTTTTTTTGCCATAGGGAGTGTGTGCTTCCCAGAAAGAAACAGAGAGAAAAAGCGAGAAATCACCCCCCAGGGAAGATGGCCACACTCCAATCCTTTCTCCTCCGTTCTCCTCTTGGGATTTGGGGCACGCACACGTACGCACCTGGCGTGATTTCTAAGCCACCGGGCCCCCAATCCGAGCTGCCGTCAGCCATGAGGGAGCTCAGCACCTTAACCACTGCGCCACCTGCTGGCCGCTTCACTGTCCTTTCAGTCAGCTTCCTGCTCTGTGTCAGGGGGAGACTCTCGCCCCTGTGGACACAGGGGGCCAAAGGGGTGGCAAAGAGAACATTCCAGACAGAGCCTATTTCATGCTCTAAGGACATCATCTGTCCCCGCACTTGGGAACTGAGGGGCACAGCTCAAACTCATCCCCAGCTCTGTTCCCCACCCTCCTATCCCGCCCCTCTTTTAACATTTTTTTTGTTGGGGGGGAGGTTTTCACTATAGGGCACATGAGCTCGCCAGAAAGACAGAGAGAGAGAGAGACAGAAAGAGAGAAATCACCCCCCAGGGGGGATGGCCACGCCGCAATCCCTTCTCCTCCATTCTCCTCTCGGGATCTTGGGCACGCATGCACATGCGCCTGGCGTGAGTTTAAGCCACCGGGTCCGGGACTCGAACCATGGTCAACTACATGGGAGTCCAGTGACGTAGCCATTACACCAACTGTTTCTGCTAGCAAATATCTCTTTAAAAAAAAAATAGAGGTCTCTTTGTCTTTACAACAAACTCTAGAAATGACAGTGGTTAGCCCCTCTGTATGTTACAGATGGGGAACCTGAGGCCCAGGGAGGCCCATCCACGGTCATTCTGCTTGTGGGTGACCCTGCCGACTCTGGGACAGGGCTGGTGATCAATTCTGAGACACCTCCCACCATGCTTTCATGGCTCCCTCCCCCACCCCATTCTCCTTCATCTGAGGGCCTCAGGCTGAATTCTCAGTGGTCAGGTGGCCCCACAGCCCCTGGAGACCCCGGGGCCAGCCTCGGCACAGGTGGTGTGGCTAATTCCAGGCCTGACACCACCAAGCTCTGGAAAGGGATCCCTCCCGCAGGAGCTGTCTGCTCGCTCCCTGGCCTTGTAGGGCAGACCCTGGTCCCTGGAACCATCCCTGCCCTGGGAGCTCCCAAAGGTGCAATCCGATGCTGAGGACAGGAGAAGAGGGGGGAACAGCGATGGAGTCAAACTGCGTCCCCCTCGGGGCCTTCAACCTGTCTGCAGTCATGCACTTCGGCCCTCTCTGCATATCTGCCCCAGGGACACCCTGGGAGTCCTGGCCAGGGCTGGGAGGGTCATGTGGGGTCCCTGGCCCCTGGGGGCCCTAGCTCAGCTGTCCAGACTGTGTGGCCTGGAGCATGAGGCCGAGAAGGCTGCCATTTATAGCTCAGGAGGAGGAGTTCCTCTCCTCAGCTCTAATCCTCCAACTGGGGGCTTTGGAGGACGGGGAGGGAAGGTGGCGTTCCTGTCCCATCCTGGCTTTTTTTTTTTTTTTTTTTTTTTTTTTTTTTAGGGGGGTTTTTTA